TCCCTCTCATTTACATGGCCCATATACCACATCTAATGTATGGCTAATTGTTGTGTTTAGGCAGTAAAAACCCTGAACCCTCGCACCGATGTGAGCCTCGCAAGCGAATGTTCTGGTTTTTGGGCTGCTGCGCTTTGAAAATATTTTGTTACACAACAAGAAATGTTTTGATTATGAGTGTGGCGGAGAAGGGTCACTCGAGGGCCGCATGCACACAGCAGTTTGCTGTTTGTTTTCTGTATAAAAGGAACAGACAAATATAACTGCAGCAAGGCAATAACGCTGAGCTTATTGTTCCACTGATTCTATTTGTTGTACTGAGTTGTGCTCAGTTTATGACGGGCATGAGATGCGGCATGATAGCTGTTGTACACACAGTGAGCAAAAGTGCATGCAGCGCTGATGGAACATAATTAGATTTGGGTTTTGTTTTTTTATTTAGCTCTGTATTGAAATTGTGCTTAATCTGGGATTTCCCATCATATATATTATATATAATAATTTTCATCCACAGCATTTATTTGCAGATTCAGATAAAGAAGCTCTCTCATGTAGTTAAAATTAGACCCGCTTCAGCAAACTAAATTCAAATCTTACCAAATTTAAATGCAAGCAAGAAAACATGCAAATTTTAGAAATCTTTTATTTAAAACTAAAAATGATGTTGTTTTATTAATAATAAGCTGAATTCGTGTTTTTATACTCAAACACTGGACTTTTCTGAGAAGTCTGGAATTAACCGAGCGTAACATTCAACCATTCAATTAATTTTAAGTAGTAAACAACTGTAATTTGGCATTTTCGTTAAAAAGATTTTTTTGTAACTACTTTTCAGTAAAATTGAAAATTCATGAATAACATTATGTTATAATTTGCTTATATTGCTGTGATTGACTGTGGTCCAGCTGGTACCTAAGTGATTGATGATTAGAGTACTTCTTCTACTGCTGCAGTTCCAGAAACTCTGTGTGTAATGAGATGATCCAGAGTTTTTGCTACTGAGGTGCCAGAGTTGCATCTTTTCTGCTTACCCATGATTCTGAAAAGTTTACAGCAGGGTTCATATCTACCCTTTGCTTCCTCAGGCCTTGTATAAGTCTAACATCACGCACAGGGGTCGGCACTCCATCCCCAAAATTGATTTCTGATATTCGTGGCTTAACGTCAAGGATCCTGTCAGGCCATGATTCCCAGTGTCAGTGAATGCTTTGCAGCAGCGCACAGAGAAAAAAATAGCAGGCGGACATGGTGACATTATTAATCCAGACACACTGGCACGCGCTAACACATCTCTGCCTGCTGTTTTGTGTATTGGAATGAGCGGAAAACAGAGATGGACTTTTTCATTGGCATCTTGTTTGATGAATAAAACATCAGGGGTGGGCTAGGACAGCACTGAATGGTTGAATGCAGGAACACTTTAAAGACAGCCAGCTGGTTCTGCATATTTTCTGCATACGTTGTGACAAAACCAGTGTGATTATTTCCAAAATCCCAATTCTCTGTGACTAAACTAGCCTTTTCTTTGAGCGTGAGATACTTCCTTACTGTACATCTTTCTATCTCTGTCATCGTTATCCAAGCCGATTTAGAGCTGAAAAGAGGGCACGAAATCACGGCGTCTTCTCCCTAATGCCTTCTGTTTGGGGAAAGGCTTCCCAACTGATAAACCGTGATTCAGCCTGATAACAAAGCCGAGCAAAGGGAGGCATTCCTATTAACCACATCTAAACAACATCACGTGCAACCCCCAGATTTCCCTCACCGGGCTTTTAAATAATATTTGTACATAAAGGATCAGTGTGTTGAGCTCTGAGCTGATGTGGATGCTGTTGGAGTGTTTGTGCGGCACCAAGGGCTGCATAAGGAACAGTGAAAAGCCACCAAAGAAAAACAAAACCAACACATTTCAACCTGGAAATAAAAACAAAACACCATCCAGACAACAGCAGTTGGTTTCAGAGGTGAGAGGGAATGCAAACTATACAAGAAATGGCCTTTGTGGGAGCCATTTGCTTGTATAAACCATTTATTGTTGTTGAAAAATGCCTTTGCTCAGGTTTCACCCTTGCCTGTTGGTAGTAGCGGGACTGTATTGCCTCACCCATCTATCCTAGTGATAAACTAGGCTGTCACTGCCCAGAGCGGCTTCATGCAAGCTCAATGACTGGATTCATGTATAACCTGGCCTCCTGAGAAACCCTGACTTGATGTGTCTATTAAGTTGTTTTAAAAAGGTGGCGGTTTATTTTTTGGGACTCAACCTGAACGTGGTGATAGTTTGCTCGTGCTAAAAAGCAAAGATCATTCTTTACTAGACAGTCACTTCCCTTGGGATTTTACCTACGGCAT